TGTTCTGTGCCTATGGTTTCTGTCAGCAAACGGTGTGTCATGTGAGACAAAGTCAGACACTGACGCCCATTGACAACGCATTGGCCGGTCTGTCCACTCACTTACCTTTATTTCCACGAAATAATCAGTAATTTGTTTGTTTGTTATAAATATAGGATTTTTTGCCGCATTTTTCTCTTCATTCACTTTATGTCCGACGGAACTCATAAAATGCAAATTACAGGCATTGAGGGAAACCGGAGTCCAAACTCATATGTATTTTATAAATTTAGTTCAATTTCTGTTGATTTAATCAATTATTATGTTTTATGTTCATCTGATTAGTGGTTCCGTTCAGTTAACGCGACAGATATTACGCGATGAAGGTTTGCAATGATTTAAATGCCGTAATATTAGTCATATGCCGTACAATTTAAGCTAATTTTATATAATTTAATATAATATTTGCATTAAAGGTGTTCCCGGAATGTTCAGAGGGCTCACCTCGACAATGGCCCGAGAAATGCCGGGATATTTTTTCTTCTTCGGTGGCTACGAGTTGGCTAAAAATGTGTTGAGGAATGATCCCGAAGAACAGAACATTGGTATTGACGCCTAACTCACTATTTATTGAGTTTTACTTTTATATTGATTTGAATGTTTAAAACTTAATGAAAATGTTTTATTAGGATTACTGAAGACAATACTTGCGGGCGGTTTCGGTGGTATGTGTTTGTGGTCATCGATATTCCCCTTCGATGTCGTCAAGTCTCGCATTCAGATCGAGTCAAGCCGTGAGAAAATGATGACTGTTTTGCTCAAAATACTCCGCACCGAAGGCTTCAGAGGTTTATACAACGGTCTGACGCCAACTCTTTTGCGGACTTTCCCCTCAACCGGTGCTCTATTTGTTGCCTACGAGTACACGAAGGAGACCCTCACAACCGTTGTGGACAATACACTTTAAATATACTTAGGTTTAGATTTAAATAATTGTTATTTGCGAGTTTATATTTTATTAAATAATGTTTAGTATTAATTTATATGAAATTTGTTGACAAGATTTTTTATGTTTAGATTTTCTTATACAGTAATTAAATCAATAAAACAATTGATAAGAATAGTTTGGTTTTGCTTTCTCTCGACTGTAAAGTTGTGCTACAATTTTGTTGTCAAATAGTTTTGCTGTTATTTGACAAACAATATTAGAAATGTCTTCCTCTGGTCTCACTAAAAGACAATTAGTGAACGGATCCATTGAATTAACAGCCGGTGGTGTCGGTAAATATGTTCACTACTGATTGGTTGACTTATCTAAAGATGTACTACTATTAGGAGCTGTTGCCAACACAATAGTGGGCTACTCGTCGGACACTATTAAAGTGAAAATGCAATCATATCCACAATTATACCGTAATCCTATCGATGGATTCAAACAAACTGTGGTTAAGGTTTGAATACTTTTAAGATTTATTAAATTAAACTTCTAGTAAATGAATTGAGTAATAGGAGGGGTGGAGGGGTCTATACGCTGGACTACGACCGGCGCTCATCTCCGATATATCGGAAAAGTCTGTCTTATTCTTTGCGTATGATTTGTGTCAGCAATCAATCTGTTATGTGAGACAATCAGAGGAATGCACCACATTTGATAAGGCATTGTCAGGTCTGCAATACTATGTGTAACTTATTGTAATGAAGTATTAATGAAGATAATGTGAAAATAGGATTTTTCGCCGGATTTTTCTCTTCTCTAATCTGTAGTCCAACAGAACTCTTAAAATGCAAATTACAAGCGATGAGAGAAATCGGAGGAACTCCTATGTATTTATGAGAATTTATTTGACCAACTAGTTAACTTTCCCATTTTAATCCATATTAATGTCTTGATTTTTCCGATTAGTGGTTCCTATGAGTTAACGCGACAGATATTACGTAAAGAAGGTTTGCTTTTACCGTATATTATATTTTGTAATCAGGGTATTTATTGTGACTATAAATACATTTTTAAGTTATAAATATATAATTCTTAAAGGAATACCTGGTTTATTCCGAGGCTTTCACCTGACATTAATACGAGAAATGCCCGGTTTTTTCTTTTATTTCGGTGGATATGAATTGGCGAAAGAAGTTATGAACCAAAACACATCGGATACTAAATTAGGTTTTTCTTGATAATTGAATTCAACTATTGTGTTAACTCTAATATTGATATGTCTTAAGGAGTAGTTAAGCCCATAATTGCTGGTGGATTCGGTGGCGTTTGCTTCTGGGCGTCCGTATACCCCATCGATGTCGTCAAGTCTCGCATTCAGGCGGTGTCCCAACACCAGACTATGGCCTCTGTTTTTGCTGTCATTATCAGAACTAAAGGTATTAAAGGTCTATACAAAGGGCTATCACTTTCATTATTGCGGGCATTCCCACAATCCGGGGCACTATTTGTTACCTATGAGTACACGAAGGAAATGCTCACCAAATTTGCCGATAAGACATTGTAGTCTAATGATAATAAAGTTTTATGTAAATTATATTTTTGTGTCACAATTTGGTTTAAATGATTTTTAATATTAATAAATTTCTTGCAAAGATTTTTTAATTTTAAAATTTCTTGTAATTAAACCAATAAAACAATTGATGAATGTTTTAAGTTTTTGGTCTCAACTGTAAACTATTTTCAAATACTGTCAAAAGTTTGTGTGGCTAAAAGTTGCTGCCTATTTGACACAAATATCTCTGAAATGTCTTCCTCTGGTGCAACAAAAAGACAATTAGTGAACGGATCCATTGAATTAACAGCCGGTGGTTTGGGTGAATATATTCAGTACTTATTGGTTATCTGTATCTAAAGGTGTTTACTTGTATTAGGAGCTGTTTCTAACATAATGGTCGGCCACCCGTTGGACACACTTAAAGTTAAAATGCAAACATATCCACAATTATACCGCAATTCCTTTGATTGTTTCAAACAAACTGTGGTTAAGGTATGAATACTTTTAAGATTTATTAAATTAAACTTTTAGTGAATGAATTGATTAAAAGGACGGATGGAGTGGTCTATACGCTGGACTACGACCGGCGCTCATCTCCGATATATCGGAAAAGTCTGTCTTATTCTTTGCGTATGATTTGTGTCAGCAATCAATCTGTGATATGAGACAAATACAAGAATGCACCACATTTGATAAGGCATTGTCAGGTCTGCACTATTATCAAGTTACTTTTTATAATGGTTTAAAATCAACATATTGCAATTTGTCTAATTTTGTGAAAATAGGATTTTTTGCCGCATTTTTCTCTTCCCTAACCTGTACGCCAACAGAACTCTTAAAATGCAAATTACAAGCAATGAGGGAAACTGGAGGAACACCTATGTATTTCTAAAATATATTTTACCTACTCGTTAAAACTAACTAGGTAGTTTAATGCCATTTTAATCTTTTGTTTATGTCTTGATTTATGTGATTAGTGGCTCATATCAGTTAACACGACAGATATTACGCGAAGAAGGTTTGCTTTAATTTTTAGGATATTTACTGTAATTGTATTTTTAATATAAAATGTATACAGGAATACGTGGTTTATTTCGGGGCCTAACCCTGACATTAATACGTGAAATGCCCGGATATGAATTTTATTTCGGTGGATATGAATTGGCGAAAGAAGTTATGGAAACAAAGACATCCACTACTCAATTAGGTTTTCTTGATAATTCATTTAATATATTGTATTAAACTAATATTAATTTGTCTTTAGGGTTAGTTAAGTCCATAATTGCCGGTGGATTCGGTGACGTTTGCTTCTGGACCTCCATATTCCCCGTCGATGTCGTCAAGTCTCGCATTCAGGTCGAGACCCAATACCAGAGTATGTCCTCTGTTTTGGCTCTCATTATCAGAACCGAAGGCATTAGAGGTCTATACAAAGGACTGACACCAACACTATTGCGGGCATTCCCTTCAACCGCAGCCCTATTTGTTACCTATGAGTACACGAAGGAAA